GAATGCCCACTTTCACACTGTTATTCAACATGGTACTAGAAGTCCTAGCCAGAGCAATGAGAAAGGAGAAAGAAAGAGCATCCAAATTGTAAAGGAAGAAGTAAAATTGTCCGTGTTTGCAGAAAATATAGTCTTATATTTAGGAAAACTTAAGCCGGGTGCAGTGGCTCACGCCTGTAATCCCAGAACTTTGGGAGGTTGAGGTGGGCAGATCACCTGAGGTTGGGAGTTCAAGGCCAGCCTGACCAACATGGAGAAACCCCATCTTTGAAAAAAAAGAAAGAAAACTTAAAAAGACCATGCCAAAAGGCTATTGGAACTGATCAATTAATTCAGCAAAGTTAGAGGATACAAAATCAATGTGTAAAAATCAGTAGTATTTCTATATGCTGTCAATAGCAAACTGTCTAAAAACAAAATTAAGAAAGCAATCCCATTTACAGTAGCTACAAAAAATACTTAGAAATAACCTTAAAGTGAAAGATCTCAACAATGAAACTATAAAATATTTGTTAAAGAAATTAAAAAGGACAGGAAAATGGAAGAACATCCCATGTTCATGATTGCAAACATCAATATTGTTAAAATGTCCATACTACCTAAAGAAATCTGCAGAGTCAATGTCTATCAAAATATCATTCTGTATTCTCTAAAGAAATAGAAACAAAAATTCTATTTCTATGAAATCACACAAGAATCAGAACAGCCAAGGCAACCCTGAGCAAAAAGAACAAAACTGGAGGTATCATATTACCTGACTTCAAAATATACTACAAAGCTATAAACAAAACAGCATGGCACTGGCTTAAAAATGGACATACAGAGCAATGGAACAGAATACAGATCCCAGAAATAATGCATTCAATAATACAGTCAACTGTAATAATGCATTTACAGTCAACTCATTTTCAACAAAGATGCCAAGAATATACATTGGGAAAAGAATAGTCTCTTCAATAAATGGTGCTAGGAAAAATAAATGTCAATATGAATGTCCGAATGAAACTAGAGCCCCATCTCTCACCCTATACAAAAATCTACTCAAAATTGATTAAACATGTAAATGGAAGACCTGAAACCATGAAACATCTAGGAGAAAACACTTCAAAACATTGGTCTAGCTAAAACGTTCTTGCATAAGACCTTAAATGCATAGGTAATCAGAGCAAAAGCTGACAAATGGGATTATATCAAGCTAAAAAGCTTCTGCATAGCAAAGGAAAAAATTAACAAAGTTAAGAGACAATCTACAGAATAGGAGAATGTATTTTCAAACTATTCATCCAATAAGAAATCTACAAGGAACTCAAATAACTCAATGGACTAAAAAAAAAAATCAAATAATCAGATTACAAAATGGACAAAGGATCTGGACAGACATTTCTTCAAAGAAGACATACAAATGGCAAACAGGTAAATGAAAAAATTATCAACATCACTAATCATTAGGAAAATGCAAATCAAAACTACAATGAGATATCATTTCCCCTAGTTAAAATGGCTATTATCAAAAAGATAATAACAAATGCTGGCAAAGGCATGAAGAAATGGGAATGCTCTATATACTCTTCGTAGGCATGTAAATTAGCACAGCCACTATGCAAAACAGTGTGGAGGTTCCTCAAAATACTAAAACTAGAATGACCATATGATCCAGCAATCTCACTGCTGGGTATATGTCCAACATTTGTATTATCTTGAGGTTCACATCTGTGTCTTCTGATTAGAACTGGTTAAATTCTGCTGGCTCTCCATAAGCTGAGAAATTGTGAATTACATCCTGACTGTTGTGCATGTTGTGTTGTGTGTAGACTGTGGGCTGCCATAATCCTTGGGAGAATGTTGATGTTTCAGTTTCTGCAGGAAATCAACCTGTTTAGGTTGAGACTACAAGTTCTGTCTCTCCTGTGTGTGGTAGTTCCAAGCTGTGCTCAGTTCATAGAGCTTTTTTACACTGGTTTGGGTCTTTCCACGCACGTGTAGCTCAAGGTGAACATAAGACTTGAGTGGTTTCATGCTCAGAATTAGCAGATCCCTTCTCCAGCTCACTCTGCTCTGGAATCCTTTCTAGCTCCACTGGGCTCCTTTCTGGTTCCTCTACCTAGAAAGATGGGGTTTCCAGGAAAGTTTTAACCACTGGCCCCGCTGTGCTGCTTTGTGTGGGCTCACCCTGGAGGCAAATTCATGGAAGACAGAAAATTGACCTCTGTGTATTTGCTGCTCCAAGTTTTTCTCTGGTCCACACCCTGCCACCTTTCATTTACATCCAGAGTCTTTGGGTAATTGTATTTTGGATGTGTCCAGTTAATGTATTTATTTTTAAAGTCTCTGCAGGCTAGCTCCAAAATCTGGGTCTATTCTGGTCTGTTTCTATGTACTGAGTTCTCTAAACTGTGGGTCAACTTTTAACATTTGCTCATACTGCTAGCAGTTTTTCATCATACGCTGAATATCTGGGATCTGTTCCAGGAAAGGCCATGGATGAATCTCAGTTCTTTCAAGAGTCAAATCTCTTCCAGTTCCTGCTAGAGTTTTGATTGCTTGTCAGTGTCTTCAAACAGCTGTTTTCTAACACCCCGGTTTCTAAGTCTTCAGTAGCTTTAGTATGATGCAAGCTACCCCATGACCACCAGAAACAGTATTGTCTTTCTGGACTTAAGAAAGCTTCCTTCCTATTTTTCATCTCCCCTTGGAATTTGGCAAACAGTGTTTGAACTTTTCTGTAGAAACTACCATGAGATATTGCTCATTGCCCTCTCACTCCCTCATCCACACAAGGAAAACAAAGACAGAGGACGGCACAGCACGGCCAAGGGCCGGTGGCAGTGCTGTTCCCAAGCTGTAGACAGTTCTTTCTCCTCCACTGTGCCATCTCACTACAGCTCATGACCATCGAACACTGATCATCTGCTGATGTAGACTTACTATGTGCCCTGGCTGTGTCCTCAGAGTATCTTAACACAGAAATCCGCAACATGACATCCATAACATCCAGAACATCTTAACACAGAAATCCATAACACGAGGCAGGCATCCCCAAATGCTAGGAGAGAGAACATGAAAAACTGCTGTGGTGATACAGAGAAGAAACCAACTCCTGCTGGAAAGGCTAACAGGAATTTCACAGAGAAGGGAAGAATGCAGAGAGTGGACCCTCACTGCTCATGCAGGCAGAGGTATTTACATGTCTGCCTCCTTTTGCTTCAGCTGTGTCATGGGAGTGCAGGTGTTGGTGTCTGTTAACATAACAAGCGTTCCACATAAAGTGTGGCCTGCAGACGAGCTGCACTGGCGCCATCAGACTGTGTCAGCAAGGCAGGACCGCAGGACCCACCCCAGATGAAAACAAGCATCTCAGCAAGCTCCCCGGGTGTTCCACGTGCATGTGAAAGTGTGAAGGACACTAACAGGAAGCACTGCTGCATCTTTCACAAGAACGATGACTGTGAGACCTCAGTTCTCTCTGCCCAGGCATTCATACATGCAGTAGAGGGAAAGGGGCACAGGAAGAACCACAGGTAACATGGACTGGGCATCTGCCACCGTGAACTTTATGTGTGTTCTGTCACCTTACAGTCATCAGCCTTTGAGTTAGTTGTTTCCATTCTGAAGATAAGGAAGTTGAAGGCCAAAGAGGTTAAATTAGTGGCCTAAGATTACAAGAAAAGTGGCAGAACCTGAATTTGGCTGATGCCAAGCCTGTGCCATGCTTTCCACTGCACTGTACTGCCTATCCCTGGTCTGGGACTCAGGAGAGGCAGGTACTGCTGTGGTTATGCCACTAACTAGATCAGTGACCTTGGCTAATTCATTCTATCTTTCTAGAACGCAGATCTTCATGTATCAGCTGATGGAAATGGAACTGCTAATAGTTCACAAATGAAGGAATCACTCTGCTTCAGGAAAACGGGTGGTGGAAGCGGCCTTCAGACTGAGTGTAGGAGCCCCTGCTGTGTGACAGAAAAAGGATTAGGAAACCAGGGGAGAAGCAAAGTGTGGGGCAAAGAGCTCAGGACAGGTGTGAGGACACCTGGGTTCTAGTCCTGCCTCTACCATTTGATAGCTGTGGGCCTCAGGTGCTTCACCTATAAAATGGAGAAAAATGATCTTTCTGGCTATCTCTCATATGTTTGAATGGTTCAAGTGAGATTATGTATGAAAATATTTTCACAGATGTCATGAAGTGATCTATTAACACAGCCATTTCTCTGTCTGCCTTCATTTTCACAGCATGATTTAGGTATTTCTAAACTAACTAACCAAGGAGCGTGACTGTGATCTGCGTGCCGTGGTAGCAACGGAGCACTAGCTCTGGCCAAGCCCATCCCCTCTGCACATTTGCCTGCTCCCACACTGGGAATAACACGTGATAAAACTGGTGTATGCTCTGCCCCTGTGAGAGAGCCAGTGATGTCAGAGAAGCAGAGGTCATGGCTCCAGAGCAGGGAGTCCCTGTGAAACCACCTGTGGTGATGGACATGCTGCCTACCTGTGCTAGTCACTTTGGTGGCTACTGAGCACTTGACTTGTGGCTATAAAACTGAGAAACTGAACTCGAAATTTCATTTAACTTTAAATAGCCACGACTGCAGCTACTATGGAGCAGCACAGCCTACAATTCAACTGAGCCATGGATCTGGTCAGCAATCTTAAGGTTTCATAGCTGTCCTCTTAAGGCCAACACATAAGCCAACTTTGTGATTGCAGTTCTGAAACTCTAGTCTCAAATGCTTTTTTCCCCCAATCAAACAAAATTTTCATGGCATGATTTTTTATAATGGTAGGTTTCTTAGGAATCCAATTATCACTTTGTAGCAACACAAATAAAACCAATAAAATGGGAAGGCTACATAAAAAATTATGTTTTGTTATCTATGTTTGCTTACCTGGAAAGATATAATATTGTATGTCCTTCTCTTTGAAATTTAAAAAAATCAGGGACTGAATAGAACAAGACCTTGCGGGGATCGCTCCCCACACTGGCCGTGGTGGTCCCCTACCTTGCATGTCCTGCTCTCTGGCTGGCCTGCTGGTGCAAGCAGAGACATCCCCGAGGTGAAGGGATGGGCCAGTTGGGCGGCACACGGTGAGACACAGAGGGCTCAGACGTGGGTTCTCGTTCTTGGGGGAGGTGCTGGTGGGAGCGACTGATCTCAGCTGGAGAAGAACGGGGGCCATGACTGGCTGTGGAAATGAAACAGGAAGCCTGTGAATGAAACAGGAAGGAAGGGCGTTCTTGTCCTAAAGTAGGCTGCTAGAGGCAGAAACACATGAAGACAGAGGAGCTAATCCAGCACCAGCACGCTCCCTCTCACACGCCCGCCCCCTCTATCCTCCCAGAGGAGGGCTGGGGCCTCCTGGCCATCCTGGTTGAGGAGCAGACGCTCTGCCTCCTTCCTGCCCTGGAGCAGCCTGGAGGCCTCATTGTGCCCTCCGTCATGACTGCTCAACTCCCAGAGAATGTGACTCCCCACGGTCCAGGACTGTGGTCCCAGCCCCTAGGCAAGACAGCCTCTGCAGTGGTGAGTGCCACCACCTGCCTCCTCCACGGTGGCTCCTCTGTCATGGCCTCCCTCAAGGCTAAGGCTGGCTGGGTCAAGTGAGGCTTGCCAACTGAAGCCACATTCTTGGAGGCCCTGCACAAATGTATCTGGAGCTGTTCCCAAGACTGAACCCCAGCTCTCCCACCTGTCCTTCCGTGGCATTTCAGACTCTCCTGTGGTGTTGGCAAGGAACATGGACAGGTGGTACTTAGCTGCACCCCAGGCTCAGCACACTGTTCACCTGGCTTGCTTGACCTGACAAGGCCTTTCACAGTCCGACCTGTTTCCTGCTTTCCTACACCCACAACCAAGGTACATGGCAGCATCGGCCATCCTGCACACACCGGCCTCTTTCAGGATTCCTTGCTTTGGCTTGTGCTGTTCCTTCTGTGCGGATTTCACTTCTACTCAAACTCACATGCAGACTTTAAGACCCTGCTCAAATATCGTGTTCTCTCTGAAACTCCCTGGACCGGCTTTCTTCTGGGTGTCACAGCACTTGGCCCATGTTCCCATTATAAGCTTGGTCCCATCATAGGCACTTCCTTGTCCAGCCCATGGGTTTTTGAGAACTGTGACTCATGTGGTTACCTCCACGGCCCAAGCATTTACCTAATAGAGGCCAAGTACACAGACGGTTTTTAGTCTGTTTGCAGATTAAATAACAACATACTTTCAGCAATCAAATATCCCAACAGCAAAAATTCTTCTTCAAAAGAAATGAAGGTCTACAGGTGTAATTTCAAATGATGTGATCACTAGTGGCATCATGTTTGGGTGGTGTTGATGGTGGCTTTCTAAGGGTTCTTCAAGTCATATCAGAGGGGGCAGAGTTCTCTTTCTGCCCCCTGCTATCTGGCCTATTTCTGGCTGTGCCACCTCATGGCCTGAGGCAGGAGCCCCAGCTGGCTAATTCCCCTGGAGTGCCTACTCCTCTCCAGCTGTTTCTATGCTGGGCAGGACAAGTGCTGCCAGTGAGCAACAGAAACGTCTGGGAGGGCTCTGGGAAGGATGGCTCCGCTGACAGCTATGTGCACTCCAAGATGAGCTCCCATGCAGGTCTCCAGGTGAGTGAGATGTCTGCTAACAGAATCAATGGCCTTGTAACTCCAAAAGACCTGCAACATGAGTGCTTTTCCAGTGGAGGAGAAAGGGTCTATGCTAGGGGACTGAGCAGCCACAGCAGCAGAGATGAACACAGCCGTGGCATAGGAGACACAGGAAGGGCACAGCGGGAAGCTCCGCGGAGCCTCTGCCCCTGCCATCTTGTTGGATCTGCTCCCTCCGCCTTCAATGGGGCTATTCTTCAGGGTTCTTCTCTAGACCCTCCTCAGCCTCACCCTGACTCTGGATGATGCAAGGTGATCCTGTCCTTCCACAGCCCCCAGGACCACCTAAGTGATGGAATCTCTCAAATGTGAACCTGCAGCTCAGGTCTTTCTGGGGCTCCCTGTCACAAGGCAGACACCCCACAAGCAGGTGTCCCCGACGCTCCAAGTGAACCCCTCGCACACCTATGTTCCCTCTCAGTGAGGCACATCAGTGTCACCGTCCACTCCACTCTCCAAGCCAGAGCCCTGGCGTCACTGTGACTCTTCCCTGTTTCTCACCAACCACGTCCTCTCCTTATGGCATTGCTCACGGAAAGCACTTCCACAGTGCCCTGCATCCTTAAGATGACTCACATAGCACTCCCTCTTCCTAAAACCATATAAGTATTTATTTCAACCAGTTTCTTAGCAGCACTTCCTTGTATTTCAAATGGAATTCTTGTAAAATACCAACCTTTCTCTCATCACCCCATACATTCAGCTCAAAACTCAGTGAGGGCAGAGATTCCATCTCTTTTGAAAAGGTTTTGTTCCCAGAATCAAGCACAGTGTGTGACACAACAAATATGTGTTGATCCAACAAAGGATGTGGCATAGTAAGGAACTACTCCCCTGGTGACTTTCACTGCTCCTCATCACCCTCCCAATAAAGTCCAGGCTCCTCAGTCTAGCAAGAAAGGCCACTTTTCTACAACCCACTCACCTTGCCCTGGGACCCCATGCATCCCTCATGCCCCCTGTTGAATGTGTGGGCTGTGAGCATGAGGGTGAGTTACCCACCCTCACCTCCACAGCCCCGGTCTAGCAATCAGGCAGTAGAGTCCTATCCATGACCCAGAGTCCATTTACATGCAGACCTGGGGGCAAGCTGCTTCCCACCCTAGAGTCCCCATCTCTCCACTTATGCATCAACACAGGGTAGTCATGAGGATGAAACACATGCATGCTGTAAGGTACACAGAACACCTTCTAGTCACTTCTGTATCCCCAATGCCCAGAGCTGTGTCAACACACAGTAGGTGCTCAATGCATAGAGCTGTCCCTCAGTACCCCCAGGGGACTGGTGCCAGGACCCCTGTGGATACCAAAATCTGTGCATGCTCAAGTCCCTGATACAAAATGGCTCAGTATTTGTATATAATCTGTTCACATCTTCCTACAGACTTTAAATCATCTCTAGATACTAACAACACCTAATACAATATAAATACTGTGTAAATGGGTATTACACTGTACTGCTTGGGGAGTAATGACAAGAAACTAGTCTGTATATGTTCAGTACTGATGCAACCATCGTTTGTTTTTTGTTTTTTTGTTTTTAATATTTTCCATCTGAGGTTGGCTGAACTCATGGATGTGGAACCCACCGATATGGAGTGTTGACTATATTTGTTGAGTGAATGCACTTAAACGAATAAAAGAATTTTCTCTGGGATGAAAATCCAAATATGCCTGTTCTGATGGTCAGGTCAGAGAAGTTTTGTGAATAAGATGAAGATCTGTTAACAAGATGAAGTAGGGGTTAGGCTGAGCTGGGCCTTCATGCAACACAAACCTGGAGCTCAATTCTAACAGCACCAAGCCACGGCTATCAAACCAGCCAGCTCTCTCAAATGGCCTGTAGCTCCAGAAACATCCTTTCAAAGCAGTTCTGGCAATAAACCTTGCCTGGAGAGTTTTTAAAACCAGACTGCTGTCTTTTGTCCCAGAGTTTCTGATTCAGCAAGTCTGGAGTGGGGCGTAAACTTACTTACAAGAATTACTTACTTACTTACATTCTTACAAGAATATGCATGTCTAACAAGTTCCCAGGTGATGCTGATGGTGATGAACTAAGAATAGCTTTTACATTTCAAAGGATTGTAATATTTTTATAAACAGGAATATAAAATAGAGACTGTATATGGCCTTCAAAATCTAAAATATGTACAGGAAGTATCTGCTGAGCCCTGGACCCCTGCTACTCAAAATGAAGCTTTTCTTTTCTATCCTCCCAAAAAACAGCGGGAAAGAGTGGCGCTTTTAAAAGACACTGATGCCTGGGTCGCCACTCGGAGATTCTTAGGTAACTGGTCTGGCACAGGTCCTTGGCATCAACGTTTTTGAAACATTTCCCCTTAATTCTCATGTGCAACCAGGTTCAAGAATGACCAATTTAGACAATACACTGCCTCAGAAAAAAAAAAACCCTGCTCCTCAAACTTCCTGGTGAGTAGAAGATGACCCCAAACAAACGTGAAGGAGCATTTTTACAACTTAAAACTCACTTCAAAAAGCTGAACTACTCTTTCGCGAAAGTTATCAAAACCCAAGCATGAGTCTGTATTTGCTCCTCACCTGCCCCCTCCCAAGTGATTACACATCAGTAAGAATCACAAAGCACCCCAAACAAACCCGCAAAGGGTCAAGTGCAACTGTGCCAGACAGTAGGTGGGCCAGAAGAGCCAGAGATGGATCAGCAAAGGGACGAAGGAGAGGTCTTCCCCAGGGGTGGCTGAGAGGTGACAGGGCAAAGGTGCAGTGGAGGACTGAGGACAGCAGTGGTGCCGTGCTGTCTGAAGAATCACCAAAAATGCCTTTAGTTTCATCACGAGCCCAACACTTCTTGGTCTCATTCAAGCATAATAGGGCCAAGGTCCCTCTACTATTTAGCCAACTCCCTCAAGAAGGGAGGGCAGCTGGAGCTGAGAAAGGGCTGTGTGTGCTCCCATACCTGTGCTTTCTTCAACCTGCCTGACGCCGCAGATCTGACAGATGCTCCAGGCCCACTTGTTCATGTCCTCCCTGGTCTCAGCCACCAGGTAGAAGGTACGCTCTCTGGTCTTGATGTCAAACATATAGCCCTTCTGAAGCTCCTTCCTGCTGAAGTTCAGAGTCACACCAACATCAGCTGCTCACAGAGGTTCAGGTTGATGGCACGCAGGGGCTTCTTGGAGCCATCATTCTTGTAGTATTCCAGAACATCTGGGTCACTGCTAGTCTGGCCCCTCCGCAGGATAAACCAGCATTTTCTCCAGGCCTAAATCCCACCAGGAAGGAGTAAGAAGAGGGGAAAGATTCATTTGTTATTACAATGCTTTTAACAGATCTAAGACATCATTAAGTTAACAATGGGACTTGGATCTGCACTCAGCCTGCCTCTCTTTCAGATTTCCCCAGAGTTTCAAAGATGGAGGATGACTCTGATGCATTTTACTGCAGCATCTCACCATGTCAACAGGGTCTCATCACTGCAAAATAAGATGTGTATTTCCACACTTTAGAGCAGGAGGTTGGGTAAGGACAATTTATAGCAACAATTTCATTAGGCTAAAACACTGACCTCAATGCACTGCACTTTTAGGCAGAGTAGAACTCTCAAAACCACAACAACTTAGTTTATAGATGGGGACCTCCACTAAGGCATGGTGAGCTGAAGTAACAAGGTCAGAAGCAGACGTAGTAGCAGTAAACAAGTAGCAGAAAAATAGGTTTCCCAACTTTTAGTAAAATGTGCTTTTTGCCACATCATGATGCTTTAGAAGAGTCACAGAGAAACCCTTCTAAAACTTCTCTGAAGCACATGACTTCAGGACACTTCTTTTTAAAGGGACAGAGTCTTACTCTGTCACCCAGGCTGGAGTGCAGTGGTAGGGGCTGCAGTCTTTAATTCCTGGGCTTGAGTGATCCTCCCACTTCAGCCTCCCAAGTAGCTGGAATTAGACCACACACAACCATACCTAGCTAATTCTTTTACATATATTTTTTGTAGATGTGAGGTTTCACTATGTTGCCTAGGCTTACCTTGAACTCCTGGCTTCGTGTGATCCTCCTGCGCCTCTGCCTCCTCAAACAGTGGATGATTTTTCTTCTGTCTTGTTCACTGCTATATCCCTAGCACTTATAATAGTGTCTTGTACATGCTAAGTGCTCAGTATGTATTACTGAACAGATAAACTCCTTATACTACTTCACCCCATAGAATTGAATGCATGATTACATTTTCTCTTAGGCTGTCTTCTACCTTCCATCTCTTCAACAAGACTAAGTGATCCATGAGCAGACACCACATGCAGGGATAAAAGACTACCCCGGTAGAGAACTGTGGGTGAGTCTACACTTCCCCACTGGCTCCAGGCATGACCTTCTGGTAAGACACTTACCTCTTTGGAGCTTGTCTCAGCTGCTGGAATCGCCACCCCCGCCTGCCCTAAGTACCTCATAGTTGTACTATGCAAACAAACCCAAACCACTTGGTATACAACCCTGAAGGACTACAGATGTCAAGCACTGGGTTATTATCACAACTCTTTAGAGCCCAGGGGACCTACATTCTAGGATTCCTACCACCTTTTCCCACTCACCTTCTATCCCTGTCATTTTCCCCCTTATCAAACTTCCCTTCCACGACTCTATTATAATCATACCCTTGCTTCTTTCTCCATTCCTCTTATTTATCTGGCAAAACCACAGCCCCTGGCTAAACCTAATGCTTTGCCTACTCCACCTGTTCCCACTCAGCTGTGCACAGCTGGAGAGAATCACATACCCATGCTGCCTGGTCTCATTTTAACTTCAAGGGGCCCTCATGTGGCCCAATGTCCTACCATATTTATCTAGTTCACGGCTTTCTCCTGCTGTTTGGCAACAATTTCTGAACTTCTCTCCCTCTAAACCTCCAACACCCTATTTCTTTGTTTCTTATTCCAAAAGAAAATAAAAGCAATCCAAAGAGAATCTGCACCTGCTTCGCCCCCACACCCACCAGCCTGCCTGTGCCTGTAGCCCTGGAGTTTGTCACTGGGGAGCACAGAGAGTTTATCCATTCTAAGCCCAATCTTCTTGCATTTGTGAACACCCTCTCGCTCACAAAGGGACGTTACTTCAACAGTCCTCCACCTCTACTAGGATCGTTCTCATCAAGACACCGACTTCTCCCATCTTAGAAAAAAAATTAAAGTTTGTCTTCAGCCTGCGTTCTCTTCCAACCATGGCCCAGTTTTTCTACCCTCTTTACCTTAAAACTGTGAAGAGTTTCCCAGCTGCTAATCTTCATTTCCTCTTCTCCTGTTTGTTTTGTGAAATCACTCTAATCAGGCTGTTTCCCTTCTGCAGCACCAAAATGACTCATGGAAGGTCCCAAAGACTTCAACGCTGCTACATCAACTCCTGAGCCTCACTTAGTCTCCCAGCACAACCTGTACCCAACAAGCCTTGGATTGAAAAAGACTGAAGACTGAGGCACAGCCACACAGGATAGAGTTGAGGAACATAAAAATAAGTGCTACTTATTTATAGTCACCTGAAGTCTTGCCCAGGCCGCTGCTTTCAGATGCTGTGTGTGTGCATGGTGCAAGTGCATGTATATACATGTAGTGTGAGCACAGCAAGGGTACTGATAGTACTCTAGCTGGTGTTTACTCTCATATATTGCAAGGGTTTTTATGCTACTGCATTCTTTCATTTTGTGTAAATTATGCAACTGTATTTCCATATATTATTGACCTTATAGTATTCACCTTAAATTCTGTGATTTTGCTATATTCACCTAGTCCTGGTAGGACTTTTTTTTATTGCATATTAGGTTTTGGGGTACATGTGAAGAACATGCAAGACTGTTGCATAGGTACACACATGGCAGTGTGATTTGCTGCCTTCCTCCCCATCACCTATATCTGACATTTCTCCCCATGCTATCTCTCCCCAACTCCCCAGCCGCCACTGCCTCCTCTATTTCCCTCCGACAGACACCAATGTGTGATGCTCCCCTCCCTGTGTCCATGTGTTCTCATTGTTCAACACCCACCTGTGAGTGAGAACATGCGGTGTTTGATTTTCTGTTCTTGTGTCAGTGTGCTGAGAATGATGGTTTCCAGGTTCAGCCATGTCCCTACAAAGGACATGAACGCATCATTTTTGATGGCTGCATAGTATTCCATGGTGTATATGTGCCACATTTTCCCTGTCCAGTCTATCATCAATGGTCATTTGGGTTGGTTCCAGCTCTTTGCTATTGTAAACAGTGCTGCAATGAACATTCGTGTGCATGTGTCCTTACAGTAGAACAATTTATAACCCTTTGGATATATACCCAGTAATGGGATTGCTGGGTCAAATGGAATTTCTATTTCTAGGTCCTTAAGGAATTGCCACACTGTCTTCCACAATGGTTGAACTAATTTACACTCCCACCAACAGTGTAAAAGTGTTCCTATTTCTCCACATCCTCTCCAGCATATATAGTCTCCAGATTTTTTAATGATAGCCATTCTAACTGGCGTGAGATGGTATCTCAATGTAGTTTTAGATTTGCATTTCTCTAATGATATGGTAGGGCTTTTTGAAGCAGATTTCTTAGAAGTTCCCATGTATGCAATCATGTCTTTTGAGAATAAAGACAATTTTACTTCCTCTTTTACAATCTGTATGCCTTTCATTTCTTTTTAATGTTTGTTACACTGACTAGACCCTTTGGTACAACACTGCATAAAAGTCATGAACGAGGCCGGGCGCGGTGGCTCAAGCCTGTAATCCCAGCACTTTGGGAGGCCGAGGCGGGTGGATCACGAGGTCAAGAGATCGAGACCATCCTGGTCAACATGGTGAAACCCCGTCTCTACTAAAAATACAAAAAACATTAGCTGGGCATGGTGGCGTGTGCCTGTAATCCCAGCTTCTCAGGAGGTTGAGGCAGGAGAATTGCCTGAACCCAGGAGGCGGAGGTTGCGGTGAGCTGAGATCGTGCCATTGCACTCCAGCCTGGGTAACAAGAGTGAAACTCCGTCTCAAAAAAAAAAAAAAAAAAAAAAAGTCATGCACACAGACATCCTTGCTTTGTCATGATCTTAGGGCAAAACATTCAGTATCTTATGATTTAGAATGATGTTAGCTGTAGGTTTTTCATAGACACAACTAATTTTCTATGGTTTGTTGAAATTTGGTCACAAAGTCTTTTGCATCTATTCGATGATCAGGTGATTTTTCTCCTTTATTCTCTTAACGTGATAAATTTGACTGGCCTGTTTTCCAATGTTAAGCCAACTTTGTATTCATCCTATAAACGCCTTGGTCATAAAGTGGCAGAACCAGACTTCAAGCCCAGCAACCTGGTTTCACGGGCTCTGCTTGTTCTCTCACCAATATCGCTTTATGTGTAGAATTCGGGTTGAGGGTAAAGGAGAGAAAACAGTGATGAAGATGGCTCTGCAAAGATAGTTGGGTGGATAATGGAATACAGTTTCCCAAATCTGTAAGCAGATCCTTGAAAGCTGTGGATCGCTCAGCTCCAGTATTCATCCACCCAACACTTTCTTCCAGTGCCTGTAACTTACTGGAAATCCTTCTGCATCCATGTTGTGTATCAATATCATTACACTCCCTAGAAGCACACTGCTGAAATATTTCTTTTAGCATTTCTCATAGAGTGGGTTGTCTGGTAATATATTGTCTTAGTTTGTTGTTGTTGTTGTTGTTGGTCTGATACTCTGACAATGTCTTTGCTTTGCCTTCATATTTTAAAACAGAATCTTCCACTGGACAGAGAATCTAGGATGATGGCACCACAGACTGTGTCATGGCCTGTGTTCTCCATGTCTTAATTTCCTCACCTGAGAAATAAGAACAGTACTGTGCCTATGCTATTAGGTTGTTCTAAGGATATGAAGTGACTCAGATAAAAGCCTTGGTACTGTGCCTCACATCTAGCAGGTATCCAATAAACCCTTAAAGAAAAACAAATGCATGCCTACAGTGATCAGATTCTGTTAGACAGGCTATACAGGATAAAAGCCACAGCTCCTGGTCTCCAAGAGCCTGAAATAGTTCTTTTGGCATTTCTTGTATTGCATGCTTTCTGATAACAACCCTTCTTAGCTTTTTTAAAAATATGACGATGTTTTCATAGTGTCTTCATTTAAAAATAAAATTGCACTGGGTGTAGAATCTCAGATGACGGTTTTCTTTCTCCAGAGCTGTTGACACATCAGTGTGCTGTCTTCTGGCCTCCACTGTTTCTGATGAAAGCTGGCTGTCATTCTGGTACAGTGTATGCTATCCCTCTGGCAGCTCTTTTTTTTTCTTTTTCTGAGACAGTGTCTCGCTCTGTCGTCCAGGCTGGTGTGCAATGGTGAAATCTTGGCTCACTGCAGCCTTCACCTTCCAGACTCAAGTGATTCTCCTACCTTGTTTTCCTTACCTTTGTCTTTAGCAGTTTGATTATGATGAGCTTAGGTAAATTCTCCTTTGTGTTTATCCTGCTTGGAATTAGCTGAATTTCAAGGAGCTGTGGGCTGCTGTTTATGACCAAATCTGGTGAAACTTCAGCTAAAATTTCTTCAAATATTTTTTCACTCCTCTCCGTCATCTTCCTTCTGGAACTTCAGTTATGCATATATTCAATTTCTTGATACCATCTCACAAAGTTTCTATTCATTTTTCAGTTCATTTTTTCGAGCATGATAAATAGCATGAAATAATAGAAATAAACTCAAGTATGTCAGTAATTACATGTCCAAATATGGCAGTAATGACAGAGGTTTGGGGGAGACTGCTAGATGAACTGGGCAAGGAAGGTCTCTCGAGGTAGTGACATTTTATAATAGCAATCACTTCTACAGAGCCTTACTACACACTAAGTACCATTCTAAGTGCTAAATATGTGTGTATGTACACATATATATATGAATTTATTTAATCCTCACAACAACCTAGTTAAATAGATATCATGACTCTAATGCACAGTTTAAGAATTGGGATGCAGAGAAGTAACTTGCTCAAAGTCACAGAGCCAGTGAGTAGTAGAGCCAACATTTGAAGCCAGAGCACATGCTCTCAATCACCTTACAACACTGCTTGAAAATATCAGCTACTAGAAGAATGAGAAGGAGTCAGGCATGTGAAAGAGGTGGGGGAAGCTGCTGTGTCCCAGGAAGAGGGCACTACAAGTGCAAAGGCCCTAAGTGGGGAAGAACTTGGCTCCTTCCAAAGACAGAAAGGGGTCACTGTGGCTGAATGACAGTGAGAGATGGAAGAGTGTGGCACGGGAGATTTGGAAGGTAGCACATGTTACACCAAGCAGTTTATTTGATGGCTCACTCTACCTCAGGGACTGAGCTCAATGCCTTGTATCAACCTTATACTATACAATTTCTTAATACAACAGTCACCTGTGATACATATTATTTGCAGCCCACATTTTGTAGAAAGTGAAACTTAATTCACTAAGTAAATTTGCCTATGATACACAGCCATTAGGTAGAGCCAGGATTCAAACCAGGTGAAACTGCCTGCAAAATTCAGGCCACAACCACATATGACATCAGGTCAAACTAAATACAATCATTTGTCCAAGAATCATCTCCGCCTCCCTAGAGAAGCACCTGGCTATGAACAGAAGTTGTACCCAGGTTTCTAAGAGACCCTTCTGACTCAGGTGACTGTGAGGGAAATGCTTTGTGCTATGGGACCTCAGATCAGGATTACATTGTTTCTGAACTCGGCTTTCTTTGTCCCAGAAAGCCAGAGTTTCTTGTCAATTTCTTCCTCTAACTCATGGTTCTAAAACTGCATCTGTATTTCAGATTCATGTCAATATTTAATATTTACTGTGTCTTTGGTCTTTTGGAGTTTCCGGCTGTCTCATGGATGTCCTACCTGGATTTGCTCCTGTGATGTTTGCTCATGCCCCACTTTCCATCTGGGCCAGGCACAGTGGACACAGTTGCCATCTGCCCTACAGGGCGGGTGTCACAGCAGCGGAAGTGTCATGTGGGTGCGAGGCTCCCGCCCTATGTGAGGCTGAGGAGGCCGCAGAGCCTGCCATGGGTCCCCACAGCCTGACCCCATTTTCGGCCCACTCCCAGACCTGCAGGCTGACGGCGCTCAGGGCAATAGGGTCCCCAGCCCCGGAATCAACTCTCTGGGTCTCAGAACGCAAACCACACAAACCTGGACCCTGTCCCTTGCTGGCAGGAGGTTGGCAGGGCGTCGCCTTCGCACGCACAGTAGAGAAGCCGCCTCCACCCGCAGTTCCTCCCGCGGACCCAGGCAGCCTCCCCCACGCCCCTCCCGGAGCCCCCAGACCCTCGGCGGTGCTCCCGGCCCCACCCGCACCTCCTGCACTCACAAAACGCCTCAACTTCTCCTCGGGGGGCGACTTCCTCAGCCAGCCGCTGCACAGCACATGGCCACCTTCCATGTCGCCGCCGGCAGGGTCACTTCCGGGTCACGAGGACCAAGGTAGAGATCCCGGGTCAGGCGGCCACAGCTCCCGGGAGGGCGAGGGCGGAGGCGGGGAAATGGGGGCCGTAGCTCACGGTGAGGGTTGAGGAGACAGGGCGGGAGGGCGCAGCTGGAGGTGAGGTGTGGGGGGCTTGCGGCTCCTTGGGGCTGTGGGGTAGAGGGCGCAGCTCTGCGAGCGGTTGGGGTCAGAGGCCCAGCTTATGGGGAGGGTAGGACCCGGGCGTAGGCGCACACGCCAGGGCGGGGTTCGGGTTCCTGCTGGGCTTTGAGTTCCGGTTCTAGCTGGCTTTGAGTTCCGGTTCTAGCTGGCTTTGAGTTCCAGTTTGGGCTTCAGCCTTTGGTTCCGCTTCTAACTTGGAGGGGAGTTTGGGATTAGTTTAGAGGAGGGCTGTGGTTCAGGGTTGGGGATTGCGGTGGGGATTTGCACCCTGGGTCAGCCTGGGTGCATCTCATGGGGACCACCGGAGGGGGGGGCATGGGCTGGGCGCCTCCTTGGGAGAGGGGAGACAGGGAGTGCAGCTGGTGGGAAGGACAAGAGTGAGGGGCGCAGCCCATTCAGGGGGCCACAGCAGAGTCCTAGGTCCTTTGTGTCAGGTGAGGAGAGGCACCGGTGGAATTCAGGTTCCTGCTGGGGTTTGAGGTCCAGTTCGGGATTTGGCCCATGGTTCAGCTTCTGACTTGAGGTGGGGTTTGGGGTTAAGGCTCAGGCTAGGGCTTGAGTTCCAGGTTGCAGTTTGGGTCCGGGGTTAGGTTTTAGAGTGAGGGTTTGGGCCTGTTTCTATTATGTATGTTTGTGAATGTATTGGCATGTCTCTGTGTGCACATGTACTTATGTCAGTGTATTTGTGTGCACGTGTCAGTGTGTGCATGCATCAGTGTGTGCATGTGTGAGTGTTCGTTGAGTGTGACACCAAGAGCCAAACCCCTCCTCCCCTTTCTGCTCCACTGTCTTATTCCGATGGGGTGGGCTTTACAAGTCCCTTCTCTGGGCCAGTTGGAGGTTCTTGTGTTGCCTGGGGAGAGAAGGGAAGGAGAGAAGAGGTTGAAGATGAGGGCGGCAATACCCAGACTAACATGTCTTTTTTACAGAGTGATTTTGAAGATTAAGCAAGCCAGTCAGTCAAGCACCTAGTACAACATTTGAAGCCCAAAGGCAGAGTGTGAGCCCCTGGTGGTGGTGGTGGCAATGGAAGGGGCAGGAGGAGAAGCAGGAGGTGGTGGGGAAGAGACACTTGGGACTGGAGCTCAGGGCTCTTCATGTAGAGGAGCTTCCAGATCCCGGAGAAGGGGCAAGACACGTGTGAGTCCCCTGGAGGCTCAAAAGGAAGGGCCAGGCTTCCCTGCCACCGCAGGCTCCACGGCCTCCTCCCCTCCTTTCCACCTCAGGAGGGAGGGAAAAAGGCGAGGAGAAGGTCCTGCAGAGGAGGCAGGATGGCCAGTGGAGGGGGACCTTGGGCACTTTTTCCCAGGGCTGTGTCCTGTGGCTGCCCCGAGGACTTCCCTGAGCAAAGACTCCTGCTCTCTCACTGAGAGCCAGGGTGGGTCCCCTGCCCCTCACCATGAAGTTCAATGAGTATTGGAGAGTCAGTGCAGGGCCAAGGGGCCAACTGCTCATCCCTGCTGCACTCACTCATCAAGAAGGATCACCAGCTGCCTGATGGTGAGCATAGAGCAGGTCTGAGTGGGCCAGACTAGTGCCAAGCAGCATACCAGAATTGAAACATGAAGAAACACAAAACCGGAAGAGACCAATAACAAATAATGAGATCAAACCTGTAATAAAAAGTCTCCCAGTAAAGAAAAGCCCAATATTCTATGGCTTCACTACGGAATTCTAACAAACAAAGAACTAACACCAATCCTACTGAAACTATTCCACAAAAATAGAGGTGGGGGATTACTTTGAAACTCATTCTGTAAGGCCAGAATTACCTTTTACCAAAATCAAAGACACTTTAAAAAACAAGACTACAGGCCAATATCTCCAATTAATATTGATGCAAAAATCCTCAACAAAATACTAGCAAACCTTTAAGCAATACATTAAAAAGATTATTCTTCATGACCATGTATGATTTATCTCAGGGATGCAAGGATGATTGTCAAAAATCAATCCATATGGTAAATCACACAAATAGAATGAAGGACAAAGATTATATAATTTAAATAAATGCTGAAAAAGCATTTGATAAAATTCAGCATCCCATCATGATTAAAAACCCTCAAAAACTGGGTACAGAAAAGATATTATTAACATAATAAAAGCCACATATGACATACCCACAACTAGTATCATACTGAATGTGGAAACACTGAAATCCCCTTCTCTAAGATCTGGAACATGAACAGGATCAAAAGTGAGTGGTCTGGGGCTCACAAGGACTTGCCCATTCCATATGAGGAGAAGCTTGGAGCTGGGAGAGTTCAGTGGGCTTCTGCTGTTGCCTTCGCATCAGGTTCAGGTGACTGCTTTGTCGGTGGGGGTAGGAGATCCTGATTTTTCTCTGAGACTCAT